ACGTTACTGTTGACTTGAAATCCGTGATATTTTCATTCGTACATCCAAAAGTTTTGACTTTATCAATTCTTTTATAATGATTTTTCAGAGATAGCCTCGAGGTCCAACCGACAGAATCTGAAGGCATATCTAGTAAGCTAACAATTTCGGAACCACCTGCTTTAGTCGCATTAAGTAGAGTAATACTAAATCCTTGACCATTTAACGAAGTTGTAAACTCACCGATATATGTGCGTACAGGATTTATTGAATAAATTTCAGCAAGTTTTTGGAGTACCATATCACCTATTGCATACAACTCTAATACCGATGTACCACCTAAATTATTAACTAGTAACACAACCTCATCATTATCATTGAAAGGCACATAACTTCTTTCCTTATCATCTTGAGATAATAGATATATAAGCAATTCGTCAATAAGGCTTCCTATTTTAGGGATAGTTGAATACTTTTTTACCCCCGGCTCGTTGTGAATTCCCATGCCAACCTCAATTTCATTTGGCTTAAGAAGTTCTAATTCATCATCATCTCCCCTTCCCGGAACAGAGCAATGATCTAAACTGGCAGCAACTGTAACCATATTATCTATAACTTTTTGAGAAACTTGTGCAATATCAGACAATGAAGCACCTAAAATTGATTTAGCACCTGAAATCTTGTGTACCAATATCACCCCTGCAAGTCCTCTTCTTCCCACCAAGCCATTCTTAGTTCTTCCAACTGCAACGTCATCAGCAACAATTACTAGTTCAACATTCATTCCAAGGGCTTTAGCCCTTTCTGCAGCTAAACCAAAGTGTAATATATCTCCAGTATAATTCTTCACAATTAAAAGGTAACCTTTTTCTGATTTAATTGCTCTAAGCCCATTAAGTATTTGTTTGGCTGAAGGTGATGCAAAAATATTGCCTGCAATCGCAACATCCAATAAACCTTCTCCTACAAACCCGGCATGGGTTGGTTCATGCCCTGATCCTCCACCTGATACCACAATTACTTTATCAGATGTACAGTTTGAATTAAAAATCACCTTTGAATCTTCAACCAATGTCAAGCAAGGATTTATGGCGCAAAGGCCCTTCAAATGCAGTAAAACAAGATCTTCGTTCGAATAATCCCAATGTTTTGAATAAGACATAATTATGATAGCTGATTTATTCATAAATATTCCTCGATTTGGAATATCCTTTGATTATAAATATAGTAGTATCTCTGATCAAATGCTTGTGGGTTTTGCAACTACTTTCAACAATTGCCATTACGAGTCTTGCATTCGCGCTATCGGCTAATAATATTCCAAGGCTAAAGGAGAATGTTCGGAAGGACGACCTAAACCGGTATCGGACTCCGCAAAATATAAGAGACGCGAGTATATTGCGGCTAATATTCCCTAAAACAACTTAAGTAACTTATATACCAAATTGAATTATTTTGAATTATCGATATATATGGAGTATTCCGAAAACTGTTTTGAATCTGATTGAAGGCATTTATGAGAAATTTTGTAAGATAGCTGTACCTTCTTATTTCAAAGGGCTAATCTGGAAGTAGCTGATAAAGAGGGGAAATGGGTTATATGCAAACCTAGTGAGATCTATCAAAACATAACGAGTAGTAAAGTTTTACAACAGTCTACAGTCAAATTATCCATTGGTCTATACCACTTATTTTCAAACTGGTTATTATATATTGATGCTAGAACCATCAATTCAAAAACCTCGTAAAAGAAGAGCCAGAACAGGCTGCTTGAATTGCCGTAAAAAGCATAAAAAATGTGACGAAACTAAACCAAATTGTTCTACATGTATGAAAAGATCAGAAGCTTGCGAATGGCCTATGAACAATGGACGGTTTAATAAAAATTCTGTAAGTGGAATATCTGGAATCATAGTCCAAAATAATGAAACAGAAAACTTGGATAGATATGCTGATCGTTTACTTAAAAATTTTAATGAAAAAGCTGCCTCCACTAATGATTTGGTGGAATCCCCTGCTCGAAAATATTCGCTGTTTTCTAATGATGATTCCAATTCTTTATCTATGGCTTCAAATTCTTCAAAATCTGTACTGCTTGTCTCACCACCGAGTGATCACGTTTCATCCAATATTAATCCTGGAAGAAATATGGTTCCTCCAATGTTAAATTCTAATGACTCACTTCAAAAAGTTCCATTGAATCAAATATTAAATTCAAGTAAATTATCTCCTAGCGATGGAGGAAATAATAATGATAGTATGTTTACACCTCATGAAAGTCCATCGAATAAAAGAGTGAATGGAAACATTGAGACCCAAAATAAAATTATCACATCACCTTTTGATACAGGTAATCCTAATATAGAAAGTACGACAAACAAACAGGCTTATTTTAACCCAGATTCAAATCAAGGTAATGGTTTCAATAACTGTAATAACCCGGGCATTGATGGCTCACCCGAAACAAGAGTTGATAGTAATTCTACGTATTCTTTCTCCCCTTCGGATTCCTTGGCCCCATTTTTGCTCTATAATGATCTACATAATACATTGAGAGATTACATGTTTACAAATGCAGAGCTCAATGACTTTACAACGACGGCAAATTTTAATAATATCTTATGTTCACCAGCCCCAAATTTCTTGTCAAGAAACTCCAGTAAGAATTTGCAGGATCTACTAACTAATCCAACAGATAATTCTAATAAAGAATTAGATGTCAAATCACCTGCTAATATCAATAATAATAAAGTTAGTGACATTCTAAATAGTTTTCTGACGGAGCTATCATCCTCCGAAGAATTAGAATTATTTAAGAATTATCTATATGAAGTTGCGCCTTGGTTGGATATGTTTGATAATTCTAATCAGTTTGGTACTACGGTTGCTGATCTTGCTCAGGGTAATAAAGCTTTAGTTTATGCTATTTATGCTATATCTTCTAGGCAAATGGAACAAACAGACCCAGAATATCCTTCAGAAAAAACGATTAATTTATACCAAGAATCTTTAAAGCATTTGATTCCTACAGTAAACAAGATTATTGATAGATCAATAATATCAGCATGTGTTATATTGTGTGTTTTTGAAATGATGTCCTCGTCCCCTAAAGAATGGCGACATCATTTGGAAGGTTGTCATGCACTATTCGAGGCCAATGATATTAATGGCTTTAGTGGTGATTTGGAAAAAAGATTATTTTGGTGCTATGCAAGAATGGATGTCAACTCAGCGGTTATTGGAGAGCAATGTACTATAATTCCTTCAGAAAGTTGGCTTCCTAAGGGATGTTCAATTTATGAGCTGAAACGATTATTTAATGAAACCAACGATGACGATATGTATGCAAATTATATCGTATTTTTATGTTCTAGGGTATTAAATTTGATAACCAAAGATCCTAAAAATTTTCAACAAGAATGGGAATTTTTATGGAACGAAATCATAGATTGGAATCTTAATAGACCATTTCATTTGAAACCAATCTTGAGCTATGATGACAAACCATTTCCCGGAGTTTTATTTTTGAATGGACCTGCAATTTCAGCTAACCAATTATTCCATATGGCTGTAATATTGTTAACCCAGAATAAGCCAAGGCTATACAAAATAAAGCCCTCATCATGCATTGTATGTATTAGAATTATTTCTTATCTTATGCAATTACTAACCTAGCTCACCATCAGAAATCCACCATTTGGCATGCAAAACAGATATGTGCAATCAGCATACATAATAACCACCAGTAAGTTACTCTTTTTTTCTTTCATTTAAGTTCACATTTACTGACCATTTTAATTTAGTGGGTGTTGGAATAATGCCTTACAACCCTTATGGATTGCTGGGAAACTATTAAGTAGTGACCATGAACATGAAATTATATTGAATTTATTAGATAAAATTGAATCAACCACAGGATGGCAGATGAAATTTAGGAAAAAGGATTTAAGGAAGTATTGGAATGGATTAATGGTCGAATAATATTGCTGTCATTCCATATAATATTGATCTTTCTTTATTGTCATGGATCTAAAGAACGCATAAATTGAATGCATTTGTTAGGGTCTCAATAACATACTTAATTAAAAATAAGTCGATCAATTTCAGAAATTGCATAAAGGCATACTTTCTTACATTGGCATTGTTATAGAAAAATAGATATTGGGGATATGCTAAGTAGAAAACCCTGGTCATTGATTAGTCTTTACAATAGTCCAGCTATAGAACAGATAGTAGTATCTAATGATTACCAAGCGATTTCGGTTCCATCATAACTTAAAAATTTACCATTATCGCTAGGACTCAACTTATTGAGAATAACCAGCAAAGCCGTAGCACTCTCTTGAGGAGATATCGAATAATTCTCAATCATTTCCTTTAAATAAGGTTTTGCAGCAATAAGAGTTTCATTACCACGTTTTCCAGTATCAGTGGAAACTTGTCCTGGATGAACCGCAACAACCGTAAACCCCTTATCACCTAATTCAACACTAATTTCCTTTACCGTATAATTCAATGCAGCTTTAGATTGCCCGTATGCTGACACACTGAGACCAATATACCCTCCAATTGATCCAAGGGCACTCGATATGAAAACAATTTGCTTTTTGTCCCCTCTTTCTACTAGTCCATAAAATGCTTGATATAAGAAGACAGATCCAAGAACATTTGTCTGCCAATGCTGCACCCATGCTTCTTCCTTCGTCTCCAATACACTTCCAAATGAATCTGCAAACCCAGCATTCGCAATCAAAACATCGATCTTTCCAATAAGCTTAGAGACTTCTGTTGCGGCTTTAATAGTACTTTCCTTGGAAGACACATCCAACTTTACAACGTGGACATTTTTCTTCATCTCTGCTAAACTTTTAAGTTCAGTAGCTGCCTCCGGATTTCTTGCAGATGCAATCACAATGTTAGATTCATTGTCACTAAGGTTCTTAACAAGAGCAAATCCAATTCCCTTGTTTCCCCCAGAAATAAAGAATGTTGTTGAATCGCCCATAATATGATATCTTAAATTCTTCTGGTGTTCAAATATTGTTGATATATGGTGAATTCAACAGATTATATACCCAGAAGTTCGTAATTCAGACCGAGAACCATCGGTAGAAATAACTAAATTCCGAGCTAGAGGGTATCAAATACTCTATATAAAATAAATTACGAGCAAAAATTTCATGGCGGGTGACAAGACAATAATTTTTGATTCTACGTGAATTTGCATTAGCAAAGCAATTACATAGTCTTAATTAGACGACGTTAATATAGAGCTGCTCATCCATTAACGAGTCTATTATTGACCTCGCTACATCAAACCTAAGTGTACATAATTAAGGTCTATTACCACTGCTTCTCAATATTATGGTTACACTACTGAGTCCATATCTACAAGTCGTGCTAAGCTTCAAAAAGCTAATCCATAACAGAACAACAGGAGTAGGTTTAAGCACCAAAACATATTATATAGTCTGGTCTTGACAAAATACGAGTTTGGGATGTCCAGAGAAACCGTTGAAGGCGCGAACTTTTTGATTACGAGCTCTACGCCTTAGTTACTGCAGCCAGTTGCATTCAATGGATTTAGAAAGAACTGAGCCAGTTCAGTTGTACATGTAATTATCTGATAATATTTAAACTATAAACAAGTCAAATCATGCATTGACATAATACAGCATTTTCATACCTTTAGCAACGGGAATTGTTCGTAATATTACCAAATGCGCAAAGGTGGCTATTTGATTTCTATCTGCTCGTACTTGAAAAAATGTTCTATACAGAAATCACGTTAATATATATTTCTCTATAGATATTAATTCTAAGAAGGCAATGTGATAAGAAGTTCATTCTCCTCGGCATCATTAGAAAACTGTACTCGAGGCTTATATGTTTGTTGATCAGTATTCTGTATTTTTGGAAAGTCATTTTCCGAAGGTATGTAAAGTGGCTTTTCCCATCTATTGTTGTATTTATTATAATCCCAAATGTTCTTGGAAGATGCATTTTCATTTTCACTTTTACTTTCTTTGACCTTATTTTCTAAACCTATAATCTCTTCGTCCTCGCTTTCATCGTCATCCTTCATTGACCCTCCTGCTTGCTTCTCAACCATGGTGACTTTTCCATCCTTTATAACCATTTCAACAGTTTTATTACCTCTACCCGACCTTGCTTTCTTGATCCCATCATTCTTGCGAAGTTGCTTTTGTTGTTTCTTTAAATGCAATGCTCTCTCCATCGGTGACAACCACATGTTTCCACTATTTGAATTTGGCATTTCGAAGTCTGAAGCATTATCAATGATCTTAGTTCTTTCTGCTCCAGTGGCTTGGAATGCAAGTAATGTTTCTAGTCTTTCCTGTGCTTTCACTAGTTCAGGATTTATTTTGCTTGTTTCTTCATAATGCTGTAATTCCTTCGCTTGCTGTGCAATCTCCTCTCTTTCTTTTTTTATTTTCTCTAATAACTCCTGATCCCTTTTCTTGTCGGACTCCATTTTTTTTAATGCTGTATCCTGGGCCCTCCAAAGGTTTTCTCCGGCATTTAAGGTGACAACAATTTTTTTGTTCTTATTTTTGGAATGAGACGTTGGGGTATAGTCTTGTGAACTTTTGCTTCTTGAAGGATCTTGTTTGCTTTCAATATTAGTCTTCTCTTCTCTCAATAAATTTATTATTTCCCATTTGTCTTTGAATGATAACAACTCCTTTCCACAGAATGAGCAAGGTTGTAGACCTTCCTTGGCGCAAATAATTTTACCACAATTTAAACAATTAGGTGCTACCTCGAATAACGGGTGTCTTCTACCCATGCAATTACACTTCCTTTTAATTACACTTGAAGATTCCATATCAATATCATCCCTGGATGCTATTTCTAAATCATTCAAGACTGCTTCAATATCTTGCAAGTTGTCAAGTCTCTTCTTCTTAGAACTTTTACTTGGTTTTACCACGGGCGAAGGTGACCTTAAATCTAGTAACTGAGACGTAGTCTTTGAAGTTTTATTATTTTCTAATCGTCCTTTTTGTTGATGTTCTACAGATTCAGACGGTGAAGTCCATGCTTTATGATTTTTCTTGGTGTTGTTTGCCGGTGGCATTTCTGTAGATTCTTTCTTAGCCTTAGCACTTTTGTTTTTCATGTTATTCATCTGCTTAGACGAATCATCGGCTTCTTTCTTTAAAGCCATAAACTTAGTTAAGAATGCTAAAGTTTCATCACTTTCACCTAACAAGTTTAAAAAGTGAGATTGTATTTCATGGTCTGTCTGCAATGTTAAAGCATAATCAACCAATTCGCTGCACGTTTCATGATCAACAGGTAGGATATTGGATATTGCATTTGCAGAAAAACTCTTTAGTTTAGTATAATTCATAGTATTGCTAAAAGAAGAGAGCTCTCCATATGTAATAAATTGATTTATTGGATTTGGTTATGTCGCTCTGATGAAAATCTCATCCTTCATATTTTTTTTGATTGATCAGAGGCATCATTCTATATTTTATTGTTACCGTGCAATGTCTTCAGTACCAGACTCGGATGAATTAAAAGCCAAATATGCAGAAATAGCTGCATTAAAGAAGGCAATAAATGAAAAGAAACAAGAAAAAAGTATGCCTGGCCCGCTAGCAACGGGTTATGATGGGCATTATTATGGTAATGTGAATGTGAATAGAGGTGGATTCAGAAATGGATACAGAGGTGGATTTAAAGGCAGGCATAATAATTATCCATACGTTGGGGGATATAGCAATAGTCGTAGGGGAAATATGCATCGAAATATGAGTGTTGTATTCAACAACAACATTACTAACGATAAAGATATAGAAAGCTCGCAAAATGATGAATCCAATGTAACTGAGCCAAAATACGTTTCATCTATATCGAAAAGTGGAATGTCATTAGTAAATTCAGAGGTATACGAGAAAGATAAAATCAAGATAATACAACGTAGTGAGAATGCTAAACAAATGCAAGACCAGATTAAACAAAAGAAGAAGGCTAATGCCATCAGAACTAGAGTTTTTAAAAACCAAAGTAAAACAGATAGTTACGATCGAGTAAAAGTTGATGGCGATACTTTTGCTGTAACCAATAATGGCGATGACTTAGTTCTTTTGACAATACCTACGGGTGAAAAACCAAAAACTATTGTGTGGAATAATAAAACTTACACTAGAAAGATAAACGGTGATTTAAAAAACCAGACTCCTCGTCGTGGCAGGTATGTTATTATTAATTTTTTTATTATTCTTATTCAATACTAACTCTAACTAGAATACCCAGTGATCAATGCCGTTATTTTACCAGAACAGGTGAGTATTTTTTTTTCTTTATACTTAATTTTCGAGTAAAATTCACAACTTTGGATACTAATTAATCACTACGTTCTTTCGAACCTTTCAACTTGTAATAGGCATATGTCAGAAAGGTTCAAGCTGCAAATACAAACATGATCAAAACTACATCAAGTTGTGCCGTCAATATTTATCGAATAATTGCCATAATAAAAACTGCTTATTATCTCACTCTCCATCCCAATATAATACACCTCTTTGCCGCTATTTCTTAGAAAATAAGTGTGTCAATCCACAATGCACATATGAACATGTTTTGCCGAAGAACTACGACAAGCCTAACTATGAAATTTGGGTCTGTCGACCTTTTGCTATTGGTGGGTCTTGTTCCCGTGGAAGAAAATGTCCATTCATGCATTTGTTTGTTTGCCCTGATTTTCAAGAAATCGGCAATTGTCCTAGAGGTAAGTCATGTACTTTAGCTCATTCTGCAACTTTGAGTACCCAAAGGCTGATGCTATCAAAAGATAAGCTGCAGCCTGATACAGAGGTTCTTATTGAGAGTGATTCCGAAGATAATGACCAAACACCCCAAATTATTAATAGTTACACTATAGACCCTTCCTCGTTATTTGAGACTAGCAGAGATGGCAAATACGATATATACATTGACAATGATGGATCTGAATCAACCAACACTGTGAAAAATGAAGCAAATAAAAATACATTTAAAGAAAACTCAGAGTTCATGATCCATTTGGATTCAGATAGTGAACAAGAAAGAGAAAATAATTCTGGTTCTGACTCCTATGAAAGTGAAACTGATGACTTACAAGAAAACAACGATTTTATAGAATTCTAATGATTAATTTTACCCGATTAAAAAAATATGATTACAAAGAATGCAATAAAAAAGAATGAAAAAGAAACATTAAATAATTACTCATAGACCAAAGATTAATGAATATATTATCTTCCGTAATGACTCGTAGAGCTTTGACAACGTATTTGATATTTTTCTTATGTTTGTAACTTTTGTTATATATCATGTAAAATATGTTTAAGAAATGGGGACAGATGATGCTCGGTCAGAAAAGTGTTGCAAAAATTCGTTTGTGGATATCAAACTTATAAAAAAGTATAAATTGTTCTAACAATAATTGTTTTCTTATGTTTTACTTGATTGTCAGTTCACAAACCTCAAATAGTTTCATAGTTTCATATACTCAAGAAAATTATATTATTATTATATTTAGGTCAACCTATATACCCTAATTTTATATTATAATTGTGATAAACCAAATTAAAATTATTAGCCGCCTTTTGAAAATTATGATGGAGAAAGTCACCTCCAACATTCCAGTTGTTGAAAAACCTATAATTCCACCAGATATCAATAATCCCCCTAGTTCAATTCCATTAAAGTCGTATGGGGAAAATTATCAAGACATAAGTAATCTTGGTAATGGAAGTTTTGGGTCTGTCGTTTTGGCCAAGTACAAGCAAGACAAAGCTACTCTTTTGAAGGTAGACATAAAGAAAAAGGGAACACTTATTGATCCTTTGACAGAATCAGATGCTCATCTCAGTTGCTTGGTTGCAATTAAAACTATGAAGACCCCACTTCGTACTTTAGATGAAGCAACAAGCCTTAAAGAAGTCAAATTTATTCTATGCATTCCCTCTCATCCTAGCTTGGTACAGATATATGATATGTTCATTGATAACAAGCAATTCTCTCTCCATATTGTAATGGAGTCGATGAACCAGAATTTGTACCAGTTAATGAGAGCTAGAAAGAGGATTAAGTTTTCCCCGGCAACCTTGAAAAGTGTTTTAACACAGCTTTTGGAAGCTATTCGTCATATTCACAAGCATGATTATTTCCACCGGGATGTAAAACCAGAAAACATTCTTATTATGCCTACGCTGCAATATTATGGATCAAGAGAGAACATTCCACCCAGTCGGAGAGGAGATAATTATGTTTTAAAGCTCGCTGACTATGGCCTAGCACGCCATATAGGCAATCTTTGCAAGTACACTTCTTACGTTGCTACAAGATGGTATCGTTCACCCGAAATTTTACTAAGAAGAATGTGGTATTCCAAGCCTGTTGATATGTGGGCTTTTGGCACAATTGCCGTCGAGGTAGCCAATTTCATACCATTGTTTCCTGGAGCTAGTGAAGTTGATCAGATCTGGAGAGTCCTAGAAGTACTCGGAAGTCCTACGCTTCCTAGCTTTGGTACGCATCTGTATAAAAGACATTATTATGCGCCTTTAGGTGGCTATTGGAAAGAGGCTCAATTATTATCGTCTAGATTAGGGTTCAGTTTACCCTACACCGATGGCGTACAACTATGCAACCTTATACCTGATTCAGTTTCAGAATTAGGTGAAGTTGTCAAAGCATGCCTCACTTGGAATCCCGATGTAAGGGCTGATGTTGATACTATTTGTGCTATGTCATATTTTAAGAATACTTCCGTTTCAAAATCATATAAAGACCCCGAAAGACCAAGTAACAAGCTTGCAAGGCCAACTCCTTTGAAGGAAGTAAACAGCCCGTTTCAGCAGTTTTCAGGGATACAGCCATATAAGATGTCATTAAATGACTTCAATAGCAAAAAGCGCATAAAGAACAGCTCAAGCTTTGAATCCCGTACTTTGAATGTTCCACAGTACAATAATGAGAATTATTGCAATAATTCATTTAGTCAAACAAAAAACAATGTCATGCTGAAGACTGAATTCCAGATACATGATGATTTTGATGACGGATATGAAAAGGAATTTATGAAGGAATATATAGGCAAGCAAGCCGGTAATTCTGACACTCGTGGAGACGTGCTTGATTTTGAAGATAGACGCATCAAGGGTCCCGAGGATGATACTAATATAACACCCCGAGGTATAAATAATACTCCCCCAGAACTTGCAGAAGAGTACTGCAATGAGAGCTTTAATTTCTATGATTTAAATTACTCTAATAATGAAGGCGATGCAATAATAACCGAATATGATAGTGAAAACACCTACTCAAAAAACGACCATGATTACTCTTGGGAAGGGTTCAATAATCTCGATATTACCAATAATAATAATAATAATAATAATAATAATAATACCGAACAGTACTTTTCAAATAATTTAGCAGCTTTAAAGGAGCCACTTGAAGACGAGTTTGGTATAATAGCAGATATATCATTCGGAAGTAGTCATGGGATTAAATGTTGAAAACATTAGAGTAGGTGATAATCTCTTCTTAACGTTCGTATTATGCATATACAAAATTGAAATTATATTTATTTTTATTAGAAGTTTTTAACCATCTCATATTTTTATAAGAATTCCACATATAATGTACCAAATAGTTTAATAGGCGAACAATCTAGATTGTATAAAATTGCAAAATAAATGATGCTTAAGAATTTAAATTTTGTCGTGTGTATAGTACCCCACGCAAAGTCGTATCAGGCATAAAGAGGCCCATTTCCTAAAAACATGTGTCTTTAAGTTTATTGCCTCTTTATAGTATTTGACTAGTTATATAATAGAATGTGTATCTTGATATCAAGTATCGAACATCCCGATTACCCTTTTATTTTGTTGTCTAATCGAGATGAATATTTTAAAAGGCCCACTGAAAGGGCACATTTTAAAGATTATGATGGGGTAAGAGTATTGTCACCCCTAGACTTAGGTAGACAAGAACATGGAACTTGGATTGCAGTAAATACAGATGGTAAAATTGCAGTTTTAGTTAACTACCGAGAAAATAACAATAGAGGTAAGTAAATTTTTATCAATGTAAACCGAACTTATTATTAACTTGCATTTTAGATCAGATAAGTGAAATATCCCGAGGAATACTCCCAATACAATATTTGATATCTGATGAATTAAATGAAGAATGGTATATGAATTTAAACAAATCAATATGTCAAAATCTTCCTTTAGGAATTCTTGATACGGTGAATGATAACGTATTAAGTAGAATCGGTGGGTTTTCTATATTGTACGGTAAACTAAAGATAAACGAAAGTACAGGAAACATAGAGCCTTTGAACATTTTGAGTAATAGGGGTGATGTAGGGAAGATTTTTGAAACTAATGGTGAAACACTGATTAGTGATGATATAGAAACTCAAAAAACATTTGGATTATCAAATTCTTTGTACAACGACCCTTGGAGAAAAGTAAAGTTGGGACAGAAAATGTTGAAAGAAGCGATCCAAAAGTCAATAAAGGCTAGCTATACACATGATCAATTAATTGAAAGTTGCTTCGACATATTGAGCTACGACACCTATGACAGAAATGTTGCCAATAATGGTACGCCACAAGAGGCAATTCTAGAATTAAGAAATTCTATATATATTCCGCCTATAGAGCTAAAGACTGTTAATCAGTTCCCTGATAGCTCTACTGTAGGTAATTTTTATGGTACAAGGACTCAGACAGTTATTGTCTTAGATAGAAAGGGTAATATGCACTATTACGAAAGGGATATCCATAATTCAGACTCCATAGGCAAAGATGTAAAAGCAAAAACTAATCATTTTCAATTCAACATTTCAAATAAATAGCAATTAGCATACAAATTGTGATGTCCCATATTCCAAAAGACATCGTGGTTTGTAGCTATTATATATATCTTGTTTATAAATTTTATGATATTTAGAATCTTTTTAAGCAATATATGCCGCGTCAATTAAGTTCCCTTTTTTTGAGAATCCCTAGCATTAAGCAAAACTACTAAAAATGCAATCCGAATTGATGACTTTGAAAGCATTTCCCCACAAGAAGTATACTTCCATATATAATAAGAAGCCACTAAAACCCCTGTTATCTTCTCGGCCATTGTTGGTTTTAATTCCAGGGAACCCAGGTTTGGTTGATTTTTATTTCACTTATTTGGATTTAATTCAAAAAAGACATCCCAGTCTTGAACTATTGTGTATCTCTCATGCAGGGTTTAAATCTGATGATATTTCTACAAGCGATGACTCTACTTTCAGCTTCTACAATTTAGATTTCCAAATAAAACATAAACTTGACATTCTTAAACATTTTATTTTGAGTGAAAATAGGCCTGCAGAATTGTATTTTCTATCACATTCGGTAGGATCTTATGTTACCCAAAGAGTTGTTCATGGCTTGATTAATGATAATGAACTACAGAACAAAATGCATATAAAGTTTATTGGGCTAATTTGTCCAACAATCATAGATATTGGTAGATCTAATTCAGGCCAAGCTATCTCGAAAATGTTTGCTTATCTACCAGTAATCCAAATTGCGGTATACTTTTCTACTCTCATGAATTTTATTCTTCCTGAACAATTCATCAAATACTTGGTGAAAAATACAGTAATTGAAAAAGGCACATCTACAAATGAAGAAACAAAAGAATCAATAGAGAATTCAACTATGGGTGCATTGAAAATTTTCAAATCTACGAATATTATCAAGCAGGCTTTAAATTTGGCGAAGGATGAAATGAAAACAATTCTCAAAGATGATGAGTTTAATGACTGGTTCTTCGAGAGTTTATCTTCAAAGCATGATGTTCGAATTTGGACTTATTTTGCCCATAATGACCACTGGGTTCATGATACCACAAAGGACTACATTTTAGCTAGATACCATAGCAATCACAATAGAAACTTATCATTTCAAATAGGAGATCTTGAAGATTCTATAACGCATAGTTTTTGTGTCAATGAAAGTATAGAATTTTCAGAGATAACAAGCGAAAAACTAAGTGAATTTTTCCCATAATGAATTATATAGATATATATGCAAATACTATTATCTCTATTGTTAATTTATCTGACAATTGCTTGGTACGTGTATATGCATTAAGCAATAGGTGATAAGAATTGTAAATGTTAATGACTCGTAGTCATCGAGAGCGCACAAAAAAATTTTGGCAGACGATGATTCATTAATCATAAAAAATATTGAATCATCATTACGAGTATGCTAAATTTGGGAAACCAACAAATTATACCTGTATTACTCTAAAAATATATAAAGAGCTTGAAATTCCCACAAGTACATTTCGAATTAATAACTAATTAATAACTAATTGCTCCTAATGGTATCAACTGTAGAGTCACTTCATAGCGAACAGGATACATTTGCAAAGATCCAAAAGTCAAGTCAAGATAGCTTTCAAAATCTTGACAATGAAGAATATTCATTAAGTACTGATCAAAATGATGATGAAAAACATAAGAAGCAATTAGATAAGATATACAGAAAGCTAGACTTTAGAATTATTCCAGCATTATGGTGTTTATATTTCTTGACCTCATTCGGCTCAAACTCTTATGGATTAACATTGACTATGAATTCTGAACAGGGTCATTCTTTGATACAACAGTTAGGTTTAAGTTCTAAGGACACTTCTACCGCTTCGGCATTATACTATGTTGGTTATATTATATTTGATGTTCCAATGAACTTAATTATGACAAGGGTAAGCCCTCAGTCATGGCTAGCACGAATAGTTATCACAGTGGGATTGGTTTATACTTGCTACCATGTTTTAAATAACAACAAGGGTGTCATAGCTATTCGATTTATGTCTGGTATGGTTGGTGCTGGTACATGGCCGGGCTTATCATACTATGTTTCATTATGGTACCCGAATGAAAGACTGACTAGAAGAATTGGGTATTATTTTACTGCCGCTCAAATATCTGCTGCAGTGGCCGGTCTTGTCAGTGCCGGATTTCAAAAAATGGATGGTGTTCGTGGTTATACTGGGTGGCAATGGATGTATTTGGTTTATGGTGTTATTACTATGGCTGCCGGTATTCTGTTACTCTGGTGGCTTCCTGACAGACCATTCAAAACAACAAAAGATTATTCACAATCAAGCAACATCATAATAAAATGTTATAATGAGATTTTTACACCTACTCATCCATTATCCGCAGAAGAACGTGAAATACACAGAAAAGATATTGAATCTCGTTACGTTTTGTTGAAATGGACATGGAAGGATGTTGTCCAGATTATCACCGATATAAGAATTTGGCCATTGATTATAATGTACTTCGGCGTCGTTGGAACCGGTTTCGGGTTAGCTGTTTTTGGCTCCACAATCATTGCGGTAAACAACCCAAATTTAACCTCCATTCAAGTATCCTTGCTCTATGCACCAATATGGCTTTTTGATCTTGGTGGTATTTTATTGATTACACCATTTGCCGATAGATTTAAAAACTTAAGGGCATTAATGTTTTCATCAGCAACATTGATTATTATTATTGGTATGTTTGTAACTACATTTGCTCATGGCTCGTGGAATAAATATGCTGGTTTACTTATCGCTGGATTTGGCTTAGGACCAACAGTACCAATTTGTATGTCATGGGCTTCAGAAATCTTTCAGCCTGCTTACGGTGACGTAGGAACCGCAGTAAGTGCAGCATTAGTTAGTGGGCTAGGAAATTTGGGTTCTGTTACTGCGACATATGCTTTATATTCAGGTTGGCCAGAAGATAAAGCAAGGTTATACAGAGATTCTAATATGATGTTGGTAGTTATGCTAGGAGCTAGTATAATCGCAGCCTCTGTGTGTCACATTCTTAAAGATAGGATTCGACAAAAAAAATAAGATTCAAAGTTTGTAATAAACTGAAAATCTCCATTTCCTTCTACATTCGGTCTTACTATAGATAATTGACAGCATTTCAAGCTTGAAAATATAATTTTTAATAATTTTAGCAATCATTACGTAGTAAGTGTAAGTTAATGTTTTTAATGAAAGAAGCCTATGAATTTATTATTTCACATATATAATTTTTGGATATTTGTATAAATTTTCATAAATTTCGCAACCATAAAAATGCTACTCATTCTTATCCATTCAGTAACACAATTTAATTGCAATACAAAGAAGGGTTCAATTACACTAAACAGCAAACTATTTTAAATAGAAACAAAGAACTCTTCTTCGAGGTTCTGGAGTAAAGAATCAATTGAAAAGAGTCGGTGTAATTGATTCTCCAATAAAATTCAAAAATCCAGAATTTCCGAGAATTAACAAAATTAATTCAATGTTCCATGCTTTTTGATACGAAGCTTTTCTACTATATATTTCAGAAACTAGACCTTCTTTCTGATAGTTATAAGAAAAGTTCATGTTCTATGATTAAGCATTAGAGAAGTTGCAAAAAATAAAGATAATGAGGAAAAATGACAATCTTAGAATTTCAAGAAATGTAGAAGACTTTTATCGATTTACACATTTATGTCTAAATTATATATAATTCTGTTAAATCGATATTATTCATTAACTATAGGCTATCAACTTCAATCAAATTGAAAAGTGTGTATCAATTATTTGCGATTGATAAGCTCGCGATATTCTGACTAATAATCCCGCATCATATAAGCATTTCTCTTAAGGGATTTGTACAGAAATCAATTCAATGTCACTGAATAATGCCAGTAATTAACAATGCTTGTATACATACGGGGGCTCTTAAACGTGGAAAAAGTACTATAGTTACTTCAATCCCATATCCAAAGATTAATGACAATCAAATTTTGATTAAAGGTGTTGCATATGCAGCTAATCCTACTGATTGGAAGCACATTGCTGTTAATTGGGGAAATGAAGGAGCAATTGCAGGTTCAGATGTTAGTGGATTTGTTGCAGAAGTTGGAATTAATGTTGTGGGATTTGAAATTGGTGATATAGTTTCATCCTTTATGCACGGAAATTTCACAGGCACTAGAGGGGCGTTTAGTGATTATGTTGTTGCTGATGTAAATACTACAATTAAATATGATAAATCTAACTTCAATTCACAGGCTCTCGACGAGGGAGATCATGCGTCGGACTTTATAAGTACATTCGAGGGGGCTGCTTCAGTTACGTTGGGGCTTTGTACAATTGGCGTTTCATTTCATTATCATCTTGGAATTAAAACCGATAAGAAAACCAATTCATCTAAATACATTCTAATTTGGGGTGGAGCTACAGCGACAGGAATTTTAGCCATTCAAATAGCCAGCCTCGTGTATGGTTTGAAGGTTATTACCACTGCAGCCCCCGATCATCATGACTTCTTAAGATCATTGGGTGCCGATGAAGTATTTGATTACCATGATTCTAATGTTGTTAAGCAAATAAAGAAAGTTGGAGGTTCTAGTATTCACTATGCTTTAGATACTGTTTCAGATATACAGACCTTCCAATCTGTTTATGATGCTACTGCCGATACCAAAGAAGTCGCTATTGACAACTTGCTTTTCTTGAAATTGGATGAATCTAAGATGGACCCGTCAAGAAAAATCAAGTCAAGCTCTACATTAGTGTTTCTTGTAGATGGCACAGAAATGAACCTAGACGGTTTAATTATTCCTCCAGATATGGAATTAGTGGACGCTTACAATGAATTCTGGTATAATATTCTTCCCCCCTATATCTCAAAGATAAAACACGCTGATTTGAAAGTTTTGAAGCCTGGTTTAGAATCCGCTAATGAAGCTTTGGACTTGTTAAGAGAGAATAAAATTAAGGGCCAAAAGATTGTTTTTAGATCTACTGCTTAGCTTACAGTCGATTTAATTTAAAAATTTCACTTAAGCTTTATAATATTCAGTAATTGATTTATATGGATTTCTTTAATAGGTAAATAATAATTTCTATAATAGCTACTACCAAAGAATTTATATATTTATTCTATCAATGTTGAGTTTCATTCATGAATCTAAGATCCAAGCCTATTTTATGTTAAATAACTATCTGATAAAAGTTTT